TGATCGTTATTCGTTAGTGCAAGTTAGAGAGATATTTTTATTATGATGTTTGACTCAATGTTGCTTTCAAAAGTATTCGTGAAAGAGCAATTATAGGAGTACTAGGTATAAAAGAAAGCCATAAAGTCTATCAACTAGGCTAAGAATTAATATTGGATCTCTGTTAAAATTAGGTAACATTATACTGATTTTAAAAGACTATGTGCTTAAATTACTCCATAAATCCTTTACGTGTCAATTACTTTTCTCGAAATATTTTAGGGGTTGTTCATGCAGCCTATGTATCCGGTATACCTACCCTAGCTCGACAAAAAATTGCCAAACCAAGCTCAAAAAAAAATTAGGCCATGTTCAAGCCGTCTGGACATTGGGCTAGGCATGCTACCTTACCCATTTGGTCATGCTTTATATGTGTGTGTAAATTATATGTATGTAATACAATATAATATTCAGTATTTAATTAATTTTAATATTTTATATTATGAATGTCCATAATTATTACTTTCAATAAATAATCAATATTGAAATCTTATATGTTTAATAAAATAATATTTTATATTTTAATAAAATATTAAAATGAAATTGAGAATTAAACAATAAAAACAAATAAAATTAATAAAATGACAAAATTTGAACTAGAAATTAAAAAAGAATAATGAAATAATGAATATTAATTATTCATTTAGTATAAATGTATGAATGAAAAGTTAGTTCAACAAGTGTTTAGTACATTCTTTTTTTATAATTATTAAATATTAATATAGAATAATATGAACAGAAATTAATATAGATAAATCAGATCAAAGTCATTTTTCTTAAAAAATGTAAGAAAAAAACCTTTCGTTAAAAGTTTAAAAAAGTCTATTATGAACAAAGAAAGAGAATTAAAATTTACACATTGATTTTTTTTTTCATAATTTTTGGTTTATATATATATATATATATATATTGATATAGATTGATATTATGAGGCAAAGGGAAAGTCAACTTGTCAAGACTTATAGTAAAATTTATATTTGGATTAATGAATAAATAGGACTCTGAATTATTGCTCAAAAATCACCTTAAACCCTGAATTTTTAAATATGCAAAATAAACTCTAAAACTTTTAAATTTATAACAAAATAAACCATGATCGTTAACTTTTAACACCATTACTATCTACGCAGATATTGTTTAAAGTTTATTTTTTTATGAATTTAACTCTAACTGTTACAATACCCATGTTAATAGTAACGGTGTTAAAAAAGTTAACGGTCAGGATTTATTTTACTATAAATTAAAAATTTAGGGTTTATTTTATTATTTTAAGAGTTCAGAGTCCTGAGTAATTTTCGAGTAAGAGTTCAGGCTCTTACATACCCATTAACCCTTTATATTTCAAGTTGGAGACTTGTACTTTTATGTTGTAGATTTTTGGAACATGGATTTTGATTTGGAATTATGGAGTAGTATTTACATTTTTTTTATGTGAAATTATGGAATATATTGATTTCTTAAAATGCTGTTTATTAGATCTTGATTCAGTGAATTTTTTTTTTTTTCACATATCATTATCCCTTGTAACTTGTTAGTACAATAATGCCCACATTACTACTTCGATCATGATTAAAGAAATTGCCAAAATGTGTGATTGTGTATGTAGGTATATTGCATATTCAACCTAGCTAGTCTTCTTTTCTTTTTGACTAAAAATATTAAAACTCTAAAATCTGTATCTACATCTCACACTCACCCCAACCAAGTTAGCCTCGGGTGAATCTCTCTACCCTACATTATTGCGTGGCCTTGATAATATTTAAACACTATATCAGAGTGGCAGCTTAATGGGAGGAATTTATTAGAGAAAATGCAATTATAGATGCCTATACTTTTAACATGTTTTGCTATTAATCTCCATATTTTTCTTGTTCTTAATCCTTTAGTCCGCCTACAACATTAGTTACTATAATTTGAAATATATCTCTATAAAGACTTAATTGTAGTTTATGTGTATATAGATTATATTATTTCTTGTATTAACATGTTAAAATTATGATGTGTTGAGTAAAAAATGAGCAGAAGTCAAACAAAAACCAAAGGGGATTAAATCAAAATCGTTAAACAAGCGATGGGGGAAATTTCAGAGGAAAAAAGAATGAGACGACTATAGCAGAAAGGTTAGTACCCATTCTTCAAAATCTTTGTCCATTTTCTTCCTCAATCCCCTTTTATTTTTTCTCTTGTACTCATTTTTTATCAAACTCATCATAATTACCAAAACAATTATCGGAGTTTGTGTACACCCCAACAAAGTTAAGTTCTTACTTCTTATCATTTTATTTAAAAATATAAAGACTACCATTAATTAAATTTGATGGACTACGGACAACAACCAAAAAAAAAAAAAAAGCTTAAGGATCAATGCTTATATTTTGTTAATTTATTATAAACATCCAAGATATACTTAATATTTATTATATCATTTATTGTAATTTGGTAGTGTGATATTTTATTTGCTTTTTTATACATATTTTATTTTTAAATTTTAAAGTAAATGTGTAAATATCACTTTTTTAATCATAAAATCATTTTTACTATTTTATTTTATTTTTAAATTTACCCCAAGGCAGAGAAAATATTTTCATAACATAATTGCCTCTGTGTGTGTGTGTAGAGAGAGACAAAGGCAAGGGCTTATTTATTTGGAACAGTTTTTAGGTGGATAATTTTAAGACTTGTTTACTTCAGAGTGTTTGAAAAAAAAAAATTATCCATGAAATAACTCCACCTTCATTAACATAGTAAAAAACATATAAAATATGTTATTATCCCAACACGTTTTCTAACAATACTAATTCATTTCTATTTGTAAAAAAAATATAACTTTTTACTTGTTTTTTATATAAGTAAAATCACATATATTAATAAATATTTATTACACATTTTTTAAATTACACCTCATAATTTACATTAATAAAAAATAATTAATATATATTTATGTTGATTAATATAAGATATTTTAATTTAATTTTTTTATTTTCAAACATAATTATTATAGTTAATTAATTTTTTTAATTGTGATATAATTTTTTTGTTTTATATCTATAAAGACAGAGGAAGTATGTCACTATCAAATGTTCGCTTTTAGCTGGATTTGTTAGTTGGAGGATCGTTGTTGCTGTGTCCTTCCTTTTACTTCGTTATATTTTTTGTTTTTCTTCTTTGTTCTTGTAGGTCTCTTTTGGGTTTGTCTGTTTTCTTTTTGTTTTCTGCCTTTTCTTTTTGTTTATGGGCTTAGGATATTAGCTCACTAACATGAATATCTTAGGCTTTGTTGAATCGTTTTATGTTTTCATTAATGTAATTTGCTCTTTGACTAAAAAAACAAAAACAAAACGAACACAGTATGAAAATTTTTACTCCCATAAAGAAGAAACTGGTAAATACTCGGGAAAATTGTGGAAAAGGACTAAATAGGCAAATTAATTGGGGAAAAGGACCAAATCCAAAATCTGCTATTTTCCTTCTCCAACCTGCATTTTATCTTCCATGGTCCTGCACTTTTGTTCTGTGTGCCGCGAGTTAAGTCCTTTTTTCAATTAGTTTGTTTAATAGGTCCTTTTCTTCAATTTTCCCCTAAATAAACCTCACTTGATATTATTTTCTTCAAATATCTGCATCCAATAGTGTCACATATTTATCAAATGACCGAAATCATCCTCTGCATAAAATCAATAACAGTGACACATACTTTCATGCATAAAAAACAAAGCCAAGAGACTCTCATATCACACCATGAACAACCATACAATTCATAAAATGGGTCAAACACTCTTCTTAAGATGATTGGATCCTAACTTGCTAGATGTATAAAAGTAAGCTTCCTTTATATATATATATATATATATATTCAGATAAATCACACCAAAGCAGATAAACTTTTGGTTCAAATCTAAAACACTAGAAGAACATAGAAACTTGAATAGAAAACCAATTACATGATAGGAACAATTATGTTATTCATTCACAAGGTAAACTTTCAAGGACTATCATGCCCATGCCCATGCCCTTGGCCGTGCCCGTGGCCTCTAAGACTTCCTTTTCCCCCATTCATCTCAAAGCCCTTCTCTTCACTGCCACCACGGCCACCGCCACTACCAAAGACAAGTGGCCTGGGTCCTCTGCCTCCGTAGCCGAGCCCACGCCCGCCAGGCCCATGCCCAGGTCCATTGGGTTTGGTGGTTGGGATTCTCTTGTCGAACCCAAGTTCAACATCACCCTCATTGGGTTGAAAGAGATGGTTTTGGTTCTGATTCTGGTCGTGATTATGATTCATGTTTTGCTGCTTGAAGGGCTTATGGCTATGACCACCACCATGGCTCTCGGGGCCGGGACGGCGGCGGCTGCAGAGGCGACCGAGAAAGCAAGCAATGAGAGAAATGACTAAAATGACAGCGAGGACAATGAAAACTGCCCCAAAAGATCCATTGGAATGATGGGAAGGTGGCTGGTTTGTGACACTGATGGGGTACACCTGAACTGGCTGCTGAGGCTGTGCCTGAAACGACATGTTCTGTTCCGTGAGAAGAACACAAGTCAAGAGAAGAACGAGGGGAAGCAGCTAGTGAGGATGTGGAAGGGAGAGGAAGGATCAATTTGTGTATAAGTTTGTGAAGTGGTTTGTCCTTTGAGTGCAGAGAAAGGGAACTATGGAATGGTTAAGTGGTGAAGCAATCCCAAGTAGATTGAGTTGATTTGATTTACCTTGTGAGAAGAGGTTAAGTACTTCAAATAAGTAGTTCAACAAACACCTAATGGGAGAGGCTTTCTTCTGTAAAGAGACAACCCAAGCAAAAGTACATATTCTGTGTGTTACTTTACACAAGAAGAAGAGAGTAAGATTGAGTTTTCTTTTCGGAGCTTTTGTTACGTATACATTATATACTGTAGTTTTTAATCATGCGAATGTGATAGATAGGCTCTTTTGGATTTATTTCAAAGAAAATAAATATGTCATGTGGCAATTGATTGCTTCATCTGATAAGGCTATTAACTGTATGATTAAGTCTCTGCGTGTAGCAACACTCAACTTGGAGTCAAGCAATGCTTCTCCCCCCCCCCCCCCCCGAAAAAAAAAAAAAAAGCTCTTAAGCGTTACTCCGACTTGGCTGACATCAATTCAACTATAACCAATTGGATTGAAAATAGGATTTTACAGTGGTTAGAAATTATTGTGGCAGTTAAAAAATTGGTGTGGTTACCCGCAGTACACTGGCTTTACATTATGGGTGAGGGACAAGAACTCTCATTCTCATTCAGTAAACAGATACTTAGTAATTTGATTTTCGAAAACAAACCTAATTGAAAAGGATTTGTCCTTTGTAGACAATCTATTTTGAGGGAGATTTAGTTTCTATTATGATGGGCGAAAGATGATTTTAATCTCACCAAATATATATATTTGTAAAAGTTTTTGTTCCTAGTTTGTGAAAAATTTGGGGAAGATGTTAATGGAAAGTGTATAACATTAGAGCTGGTAATTTAAGTAAAGTGAACTTGTTTAAATAGGGCTCAGTCCATGCCAGACTTATTTATATTATATTTAAAATACTTCAACATGTAAAAAAATTCATATAAACAAACTTGGCCTTAACACATTAAACTTTTAGATTTATTTGGGCTAGTTTAAATATCTGAATTGTTAAATATTATTTTATTAGCCAATTTCAATTTTTATGTTAAAAAATTAATATTTTTCAAATTTTATCTAGTTTAATTTTATTTTATTAATAAAAAAATCTGAGTACTCAAACTAAATTCATTGAGGTTTGGATTTGGCTTAGATTTCTTCAGGCTTATTCATGTGCCCAAATTACCAGCTATTTATAATACAATTAAATTTAAGATGGGTATTTAGTGCACTTTTAATCAGGCTTATGGTTTCCTTTTTGCCTTTTTTTTTTTTTTTTTTTTTTTTGCGAATGGGGAGGGAATATGGGAGAGAAACGTTGAGTTAATGGGCTTGGAACTAACTGATTAGCTTCATGATTTTAAATAATACCAAAAGGACCATGAAACGCTGATTGACAAGGGCAAGCCCCTTTATTCATTTTGGTTTAATTTTTTGTTGCTTTTTGTTTTAATTTATTGTTATTTTGATTGATAACAAAGAATAAAAGCAGAGAAGCGACAACACTCCAACAAGGAACGAACAAAGATTCCCAATTATGGTTCATGCATAAGGTACGTCACCTCGAAAGTTGTTGAATTTTGTGTTCGTACTTCCGTCTGAATAGCAACTATCAATTATTTATATTTAATTTTTTTTTTTCATGAGTTTGGAATTTAACATGGTATGGGATTTTATTTTTTATTTTTTAAAAAATTCTAATATTTTGGGTTACTACACATATAAGAGTTAAAAGTCTTTTTTAATTTTTTTTATTCTTTTTTGTCATTTCCTAATTAACTAATAGCTAAAGTTAATTTTTGTTAAAAATATAGGTTAGAGTGTATTATTTTTAAAAATTGAGAAAATAATTTTTACCATAAATAAGTTTAGGGTATATGATGTTATTAAATTTAAAGTTTATGAAATCATTTATTTGTTTACTTTATTATATATGCAACTAGAATAGAGCAGGGACAATTAGAGTTAAATTTTACCCACCCCCCCAATATATGTAATTAAAACATAAATTTAACATTCTCAAAAGAGGAAGAAATCTCAAATCATATAATCATGTCAAAAAAATGCGTGCATAATCATAAAATATTATTCATTGAGAATCTTGATAAACTATCTTTTGTTTAATAAAAAGGAGGGAGAATTATACTTAGGACCCTCAAAAATAAAGTAATACCATTGCATGCTCTTTCAATTATGAAATAATTGTTTAGGCCAAGGGTTCTTTTTATAAATAAGATTTTTGCTAAAAAGACAAAAATGCCCCTAACACAAATATATGTTTACATATTTACAGCAATAGGTTTACATACTCACTAATTGTGAACATAAATATTTGTATATATATATATATATATAAACATATGATTATAAATATGTGAAGTTATAACTGTAAATATGTGAAATTGTTATTGTAAATATTTAAACCTATGCTATTAGAGTATAAGTGAACACGTAAACTTGTTATTGTGAATATTTGAACTTTTATTTATGAATAAGTGAACATTTGGTAGTAAATATATGAACATACACTTCAAAGTTAGGGTATTCCAGTATTTTCAGTGAAAAATTTATTTGTAAAGAGGGCTATTGGGCCTGAATGACTATTTCAAAATTGAAAAACTCTGCAGTAAAATTATTTTGCTTATGAAGGCTTCAAATGCGATTCTCCTCAAAAAGAGGGGGTAAGAATAAAGAGCAAATATAAATGGAAGAAAGTTAAATTCACACGAGTGTCATGCCTCTTCTCACTTTTGTTCGTTCTATTATTTTATTGTTATTTGTTTTCATGAGCTTTAATATTCCATGTCAGATCCAAATTAATTTTGTCAATAGCTTATGGATATATATATATTTTTTAAAAATGTCTCTCACCAAAAGTTTAATCACTATTTTATATCTAAAATTCAGACTCGAGATCTTTAATTAAAGTGTCTCTTACTCATTGATTCAAGCACCGAGATGTTATTGTTAACTTTTTGGTAATGTATTGTTATTTTGTTAACTGAGAAGGGAAGTTATTAAAAGCACAAATACTGAAACAACCCAAGAAGGCGCAAAGATTCCTCGGAAACGTGAGAATAATTTTTTGTTCGTGCTACTCCACATTAATAATTTCTTTTTTTGGTTCATGGTATATACATTCCAATTAATTATTTTTAAACAAAATACAAGTATACAACATCCCTTTTACTTTTTTATATAAAAAATAAATTTTTTTATTATTATAATAATATTTAAATTTTAAATTTTAAATATTTTAATATATATTATCAGTCTAGATTGAGACTAATTTTATTTCAACTATGTTACCCAGCAAAAATAGATTACCTGCACCAGTTTTATGCAGTCCTTTTGTTTAAGTTGGATGATACAAACACACACATATATTACTCACTTCCATATTAAAATTTTAAAATGATAATCTAATAGTAAATTGATTATTTATTTATTTTTAACCAGAAAATTGATTAATTTATTTAGTCCGAGATATTTTGTTTTAAAAAAGTAAAAGGAACATCGTATGAGTTGACGATGGACAATTTTGGGCCGAACTTGAGGCCTCTTTGAATTGATCAAACTTGTACGGTACTTGGAAACAATTGGGTTAGTCACAAGATGGCTACCGAAGCAAAACATGGATATTTTCAGTTATATTTTGTCTAAAATAAATAAGTGAAACGAATACAAATATAAGTATATAAAATTTTATATGTATTAGTTACTTTCTGGTATAACACGTCCTCTATTTATAGACGTAGGTTCTTTTTATTGGAGAATTTGAAGGATAAGGAATGTGATTTAATTATTGATAGATTTAAAAAAAATTGAAACTTCAGTTCGGTTTAAAAAAATTGAAGTGAAAATAATTTTAATGATAAAAATATTAAAGTACCGTTCATTTATTAATTTTTTTTGAGATGCAAGATTATTAATTATTAATTTTCTTACTTCACTTGTTAATTTACCAATGCGAATTGTAAATTGCATCAGTTATCAAACAAGCAGGAACATCAATTGTTAATCTGCAAACTTTACTTATTAATTTACTAACAGTAATTATAAATTACAAGATCTGTCAGTAATATACAATGAGTGTTAGTAAATTAGCAAGTAATGTTAACAATTTAACAATTGATGTTGCAACTTATAATTGAACAACTGATATTTAAGTCTTGTATAATTATTAATAGGTCAATTTATGTAACTTATAACTCATATTAATAAATTAACAAGTTAAGTAAAAAAAATTATCAACTAATGATTCTGTTCCTTAAACAAAATTAACAAGTGAAGAGTAATTCAGTATTTTTATTATTAAAATTATTTTCACTCCAATCCTTTTAAATTGAACTGAAATTTTAAAAAAAATTAAAAACTATTAATAATTAAGTCATGTCCTTATCTTTTTTAAAAGTGTGGTGGGAAGTCATGGATTCTTATTATAATTTTAAGTTGTTAGTGCCTATTTCTTTTTGTGAACCCATTTTATAATTTTTAACTCATTTGATATACTATAGTAAATTGCTTTGATAGATTAAACACGCTGTATAACAAATTTGATTAGAAACACTAATTTCGATCTTTATATTTTACTTGAGTTTTGATTTAAATTCTTATATATATATATATATATATATATATTATGTTTTAGGTCTTTATATTTTTTTCATCTGCAATATTAATTTCTCTATTTTCAAAGGGATGTTAATATAGCACAACCAACGTTAAGATTGCTAACGTGTTCAAAGATTCTATCAAGCTTGTGCTAATGTGTTTAACTAGTAATTTTTTAAATCTAAAAAAAAATTAAAAAAAAAAGTTGTACTAGATACAAAAATTGACCTAAAATTAAAAAAGAAAAGAAAAAATTAATCTTTTAATCCTTCAGCTTTTAATTCACTTATAACTTAGTCCTTCAACTATGACTCGCTATGATTCAGTCCTTCAACTATAACTCGCTACAACTCAGTCCCTCAACTTTTGATTCACTTATAACTCAATCCTTATTTTTTTAATTTTTTTAAAAAAATTCTTATCAAATAAGAGGAATAA